AAGTCTGGGGTGGAGATACTCAGGCTCTCTTTCTGTAAAGCCTTAGTGAAGCAAACAGTCGATGTATTTTAGTGCTTGTTAGAACTATGCTTACCATCACTGTTAAATATACGGTATTGTGCAAGGCAGTCAAATTGTTTAAATACTCTTCATATTGATGTAAAATTATGATATTGTGTCTGTTGAAGTGTGTTAGTTTATCCATTTAAAAAACACTCTTAAAATCACTCCAGTATTTGCAGCAACCACCCAACACTCCCATGTACTTTTAAACTCTACCACCATATCTAACTAATCAATACTTCATCAAGGTATTGAACTAGTTAAGTTAATTCATTAAGTGAGCTGATGGTGGAATTTAATAAATACATGGAATGGCTGAGGTGCCCCTGAGGAGAGGTTTGGGAACTGAAGCCGTGTTCATCTAGCTTTCCAAGATCAGTAAGTTCTTGGAAAAAATAAGTAGTTCTTTTTAGTTTTTTTGTGCTACTGTTAATTTGAATATATTCCAATGTTAAGTTTGGCGTTTTGTTTTTGAGAAAATATGCATTTATTACTCATAAATAGCTTTTCACATTTTCTTTGACTGTCTAAAAAATTTTTCCCAGCACTGTGTATTAAAAATATATTATGATCAACAATGTACTAATTAAAATCACTCAAACAACTAGAATTTTATTAGAAATATATAGTAAAAATAAGCACAGGTAAGGATTTGATCCTGGGACAAGGCTAATAACGCACAGGCAGAACACTGAGATTTACCTAAAACATTTCCCTCCCAGCATGACTAGACTGGGATTAAATTTCGGCCCTGGACTTTGGGGTCCCTCATGGCCCCATGGCCGAGCGGCGGGGGGGGTGCACCTCACAATTAATTTTGCCGGTCAACATACCCAGCAGCCCACTGGGACAATGCCTGGTACGCCAGATGGCCAGTCCAGCCTGCCTGCCAGAGCCTCCTCCCGAAAGCCCCCCCAAGGGCACTCAGTGACCTTCAAGGACCCCGGATCCAAACGAATGGCCATTTTATATTCAGCTTCACTTTCACCAGCGCTATGACAACATTCTTTTTGGGTACGTGTTGTCAAAGGTGGGTATTTCAGGTCCAGCGAGGTAAAGTCCAGACAAAAATTTTGTGTCAACCAGTTGAGTGTAAATTGAGTCACATTCACAGAGTAGTCAAGTCAAGTTTATTTATATAGCACATATAAAAATAACAATTGTTAATCCAAAGTGCTGTGCAAAAAGAGAATTGAAACTAACAAGACATAATAAAGCATAAAACCAACTCAACTACTATTTAACAAAGGTCAGGTTTTAGGTCATGGTTTTAAAGTGATAATTGATAATACTGCAAATTCAAAATAAATTTTAAATTTATCTTGGTCTGGACTTTTACTCTCTGGACCTGAACTACCCATATCTGCTTGTTGTCCTGATTCCGACTGTCTCACACTCACACCCTCTAGGCTTCTCTCTCACTCCTTGTGTGGTTCGAATCTGTGACGCGATTGTGCATCGCGTTGTGATTGGCGAAGGTGGCATGGATGTCCCAAGGTACTGTAAAGTGAGGTGACGATTCCTTTGCTCACCTGCAGCCATTTTGCCAATGATAAGATCACATTTGGCCTGTGTTGATTTCCATGCCACCATCTTTTATTCTCCTTTCATCCTCTTTGTTGTAAAAGTCCCACTAAAATCAACCCACTTGCATCCTGTCAACCAACCAGACAGAAGCGAGTCTTGCACTGTTCATTTTGTAATATAATATGCCATTAATATAATAAGTAATGTAATATGGCATTCCTCTTCAAATTAAATTACGGTGAGTCAGTGTTTTAACCAGATAGATGGCTCACATTCACTATGCTTTACACAATCGGGGAACGTGATCAGACAATTAGGGCAGCCTTTTGTGTAGCACTGTCGCATGGAAGCGAATGGAGGAAGCAGGAGCAAATGAGATTCGGAACAAAAGGGGGTTATTAAAATGAAGGCAACAAAAACAGGAAATAAATGGGATTGCGAGAGATCGGAAACAGAGGTAACAGGGAAGAGACAAGCAGGGCAACAGCGTCAATGACAAGACCTTAAATACAGCCAACGAGTGACTAAACAGGAGGCAGCTGGAAGTGATTAACATGAGGGCGGGAACAAGGGGTAAGAACGAGCCACGCCAAGAAGAAAACAAGAGGATTAGACAGACATGGTGGGCAGGACATGACAAGCACACTGACAAGCTAAATTTAAACATTTATTTTATAGCTGTGAATACTGTAGTTATGTATGCATGCATCCATTCATCCATCTTGTTTAAAATCATGGTGACTCTAGAGCCGGTGGCACAAGCACGTGGCACAAGACAGGGGACACCTTGGGTGGGATGTCCCACCCCCTTAAATATGATGGACAGGAGCACCGATCTATCGCATTAAATATTACTTAAATATTGTGCATCGCGTTGTGAGGTGCCATTGAGACCAGCTCAAAAAGTCCTCCTGTTAGCTCCTTAGCGTGCTAAGCTAAATGCACCCCCCCCCCCCCACAATGTTCTCACCCTCCACAATTGCCATCCTATTCCCAGCCATTCAAATAGCATGGGCAGGCTTTTGTTCACAATGCCATATAATTGGAAGTGATTCTAAAGGTCACAGACTGTGGGTACATTTAATAAGCAACCCGATCCTTATAGTATATACTTAATTGAATGAGCGGTTTCATAGATTAAGCTTTTTCGCGCAGAATTCCCCACATTCAGATTCACTGTTCCTTGAGCAGTTTCTGAATGTCTTACCTTTAGTACATTATAGCGAAAGACTTTCTGTTAAAGTTCTCAACATCTAAGGAATAACTTAATTACACTCCCGAGCCAGGAATAGTTAATGTTTCCGTTCCCATATGCTACTCTTTAGTGTAGATAAGCTATATTTGTCACGCGGTGTAACTGCTGACCCACATGCACAGGTTGTCCTGAAATCTAAGCGCCATCTGCGCCAAAGTGGAGCATTGGGGCTAATTCTGGTCATTGGGTTTCATGGGAACTGCTTTCTGGAGCTTTTCGTAATATATATATATATATATATATATATTTAAAAAAATCATATTACTGAGAACTTATAATAACCATTTCCACCTATTCAGATGACTTTTCTATATGGCTGTACTGATACATATGGAGTTCTAGCAAAATAAAAGACTTTAAAATAATGTTATATGTAAAGATTATAAGGTTTTTAATATCAAAGTTACCGCGGAGTATTTCTGGTGAAGTCGTTGTCGTAGCTGACAGTTTTTGGCTGGTCGATTCGTCTCGTCGATTAGAGTTTGTGAGAAAGAAGTAGGAAGGGGAATTTTGATATTGTCAAAGGACAATAAATCCTTGTCATAAATATTGTTTTCTTGGAAGAACTGAAATCTTATGTTTCAAATCACAAGGCGTCAGGATGTTAAAAGTCGTTTGCAACGAGATTTTGAGGGATTTATGATACTTATGTGACAAGCAACAAGTTACAAATGTTGCTTCGGATTTTTACAAACAGATTATTCTGTATTCGAAAAGAGGTATGTTGGGAATGCATTTAGTGAGATAGTCGCTAATGAGTTTTAATGCTTGTGAGTTTTGTAATGCGGAAACATCATAATAAAGTCAAGCCAAGGGTTAAAGCTGGTAATAAGAAATAAGTTTACTGTTTAACTGCTAAAGCACTATTGAAAAATATGTGAAAGAAGTACAATCTTATCACTTTAGTACAGGATAAATTATAATACTCAAAACGTGTTTACTGGTTCATTTTTCATTACAGGATCACGTTGCAAAACAGATTTTTGATTTACATCACTCTGCCTTTTATCTAGGCAAAACTTGGTAAATTTTCCCTCATTTGCCATTTGCAAAGTACGGGTGGTGCTTCTGCAAAGTACATTGTGGTGCTTCTCTCTGCCCCGGAACAATGGGCAGTTAAGGACCTTGTTCAGGGGCCCATGGCCCTGGTTACTGTTTAAGGCCTTCTACATGCATTTACATGACAGGTTTAAGCTTATAATTTCATAACAATATATTAATGATAATTACTATTATTATCATTATTGTTGTTATTGCAATAGCACGTGGGTTTTAATGCCATGTCATCCAACGTTACCCAAGGACCACTGTGGAACATACAAACAAAAAGTAACAATGAATTCAAATGCTATTCAAATCACAATTGGAGCACTGCGGATTTTCCAATGACTTCACATGGAAGGCACTCTCCTTTCCCAGGTTTGCCAACTTTGGTCAGCTGGGTGGAGTGAGAGATAAGTCTGCATACACATGCACATGCGTGTTTGTAACAGTTTTATTGCCTTGTAAATTGTCTTTTGAGTTGCCAAGTACCCCAACGCTTCTGATATAGCTAATTTTAGTTTTATAATGGATAATAAATATTAGCCGTAAGATTTGCTTGCGTGTGTCTGAAATCGTGAGTATCACGCCAGATGCGTGAGATTTGGCAACCCTGTTTTCCCGTGCGCGTCTGTCTCTGACTTTCTGCGGCTAGTGATTCAGTATTACTCAGCATTAGGAGTCACCATTCATAATAATTAATTTCTTTTTCCCCTTATGAAGGCAGGCCAAAAAAAACACAACCTCCTAATATTTACCCGCAACTGTATGTACAAAATAGCCCAACTGGGCGGGAAAACCACGGACCTGGCAACTCTGCCTTCACCGCATTGTGCGCCCACGGAAAGCCCCGCCTCTAGTGAAGCCCGCCCCCATTGAAGCCACGCCCCGGAACCTCCTTAAATCCCCCACAAACTCCTCCCAGCTTCCGTTTCTTTAATATATTTTAAAATTTGTCCTTCGGTGGACAGAAGACGCCAATTTTAGATTTGGAGTGGCTCCAGGACCGAATTTATAGTCTTTGCATATTTACTTGGTATTTCATTTTCATATTTATCTCCTTTTCTTACTTGCGTGTTTATTTCCCTTCACTCCTTGCAGTTAAGTTTATATTCTATCTCTTATTTTATGTGTTGACCTGGGTGTCTTTTTTCCGTCTTACAAGTCGCTTTAACTCAAGTCTTTCAAAACCGACTAGACTGACGGGCCGATGGAGCAGTGGGGGGGATCCTGTTTTCCCCGATTTAATTTAGGCAGAGGACATTTCCGAGAGGGGGGGTGGATGGAGGGAGAGAAGGGGAGAGAGCGAGAGAGAGAGAACGCGAAAGCGAAGCAGCACGCCAGTTTGCGAGCGCCGGAGCGGCCTTGTTCGGTATGTAAATACCGCTTTTTGCATCGGGGAGCCCCGCTGGATCTCCTGCCTCGTCAGTCGCCGCAGTTTCTGCTGCAGAAACAGACGCGCGTAATGGTTTCGTCGTCGTGGTGGTTAAGAGGGACGCGTCGCGCACGCTTCCGCCGATCGGCTACCACCAGCGACGGGGAAGTCGCCTGATGCCGTAACGATTAACTTTAAATCCGGAGGCTTTGCAGCCGGCCGTGTTTCGATTGCAGTGCTGCGTTATTTGTCTGTTTTTTGGCGTTATGTTTCATGCACACGGCTGAACAGCCGGGCTCCCGTACCGACGGGCTGCGGCGGCTCCGTTACTCACACCGTGCGCCTAAGTTATGGCGCTCCTCGCTGCTTCGTCTGTTTGCGTCTAATTCCGCGATTACTTTCCCCCCCGAGTGCTTGATTATTTTGTAACATTTATGATGCATCAGTTGAACTCCGCTTTTTTTTTTGTTGCACGGCCATTCGCATATTCTGTTCATCCAATTAGCCGAAAGCCGACGCGCCGTCCCTAGATTACTGCTTGTATGGTTGCTTGCCGTGGGACGTTTTACCCCATGATCTGTGGATTTGTTTCCCACCCCCTTTTTTGTGGTTAATTTTGTTAAAACTGGAGTTTCACTTCGTGCAGACTCTTATATCCTACAAGGTGGATGAAGTACTCATTCCTTTACCTTTAGTACTTGCATTCTCTAACCTTCCGCCCCCACAAACAATGAGGCAGGAGGGACTCATTGCCCAGAGTCGCGATCGTCCTCCATGTGGCGATGTCCCGCCATGGCGCGACCCCCCTCGGCCGCTGCTTCCGTTCGGTGACCCGTCTGTTCTTCCCTGCGCCCCCCCCTCCCCCCGTACATAGATGCCGGGTTGTTCAGCTCTAATGACTTCTGGCAAACTTTTTTCTTCAGCACTCTCACGCTGAACGCCCCCCCCCCCCCGCTTGCTTCCATGTGATGGTTTGTGGGGTCATCTGCATTTTATTAATTCTTCATTTTATTAAAGCTTCATTCCATTGTAGCATGTATTGATTAGATGTGTCTCTTCCAGAATAAGACAAAAAAATGAGTGACGCAAAGGGTAATCAAGCGGTGTCCCCGAAAGGCAAGGATGGTGTGGAGAAGAGAGGGCGAGGCAGGCCGCGTAAGCTGCCCCAGGTAAGGGCCCGGCGCGCCGGCTGCGTGCTCCACCGTGGCGGCGCTTGCGCTTTGTGGGGATCGATTTCAATTCAAGTAATCTCTCCTGGTTCTTTAGGGGGATCGCGCCCCCCCCCCCGGATGCTTATACTTATTCAGAATGCTTATACGGGGCTTTGATCACACGGTTTCTTGTTTAAGACGGGTCGCCTTGAGAGCGTTTCCACCCAGACGCCCTGTATTAAACATTTTATAATGTCCTTTATCTTGCATGAATTATTCATGCCATGAGTTGCTAGATGCCGCCTGTCTGTTGGGAGCTGACAGCTGCTTCATTGGCAGTGATTCCTGAACCAGACAAACATTTTTTTAAATACTGATCTTTATCGCCAATGAATCTGTACATTCCTGCCGTAAACACACGGATCTTTAAACTGTTTCTTGTCTAATGGTGTGCAGCAAACCTGATTTTTTTTCCCTGTAAAATGCAGCTACTTGGAATCATTTTGGCCGAACTGAACCGATCTAGCCATTCAAACATGAGGCCCCTTATATTTGTTGTGATTGGTAACGCAAGTTACGTTTCCTAGTTTTTCTAGGTGTGCCAATGGTTTTACAGTTCAGTGTAATCCACGTTGTAGCATTGGTCATGTACCTTGCCACTTATGACGTCATGTTACTGGCCTTTGCCCATTGGCTGATAGTGATCCTCCCACCCCTTTTTAGTCAGCAGGGGGCTTTGGTGGCTTGTAGCTTAAACTCTTGAGCCAGATGATTTTCCCTGAGCTGGTTTGTATGTGATGGGTGGGACCTTGGCCTGATTAGCTTATGGCCTCGCAGGCTGAGCATGGGAATCCGGTTTCTCGCAAGTACTCTGTGGTCAGGGAGATGTTGATCATGTGTAGGTGTCGCCTTATGGAAACTTTGTGATGCATATTGCAATGTTTATGAAACCCAAAAGGGGTCTCTTAGGCTACATGTCATCTACTGCCCTGTGTCCAAAAGCTGGGATGCTGTGTGAAATGTGCGTTAAAACAGAATGCAATTTACAGGTCATTTAAACCCATATTTAACTGGAAATAGTGGTAAATGTGCCTGTTTCAACTTTTTTTTTTTGAATGTTGTTGGCATCAGGCTTAGTTTGAATTTATTTATAGCAGTGACATTTTCTGCACTTGATGTGGTGTTCCGTTATCAGTTAAATATGGGTTTATATCATTTGTATATCATTGCATTCTGTTTTATTTTCGCTTTACACAGCATCCCCTCTTGGAAACAAAGTTATACCAATAGTCTTAAGTTGGTGTTGCCACAACCAGTGTAAACAAGGCTCAATGGTATCTATGGGATCCAAAATATTTCCATACAGTGTCTTTTGGGGACCAGTTCTTGAGAAGCTCTCAGATGCACCCCACTGTATAAGTCCTAGCAAGGTCACGATTATAATTCTCTCAGAGCTCTTGTAAAAGCAGCAGTGATACACTTTAGCCGACGATTGTCCTCTAGCG